GTTAATCCGAAAACGACGTATTCGCGATGTCTGAACTGTGTGGGTCGTCAAAGGTCAAAGCGTTTAAAGGAGGTGTTAAAAGGAAGGGGGAAATTCACTCCTTAACGTTAAGCGTATAGGGAGGAAATGGCAGAATTGCGGCACAATCTAAACGGCTCGACTATAGGCTCGTGTATAGTACGTGTATAGATAGTGGTAGGAAAAGCCGATCAACTGTGCCCTGAAATGTGGATGCGTCACAGGTCATAAGCTGTCAATGGGCACAGGAGAGATTTTAGACATTTTCTGAGGACAGTGGTTGTGACGGAGCGATTGGAAAATTTTTTTTTCAGGCGGTGACTAGCATTTTTTATGGCGTTATTGAATAGGACCATGAAATGTGCTTTCCAGCTGACTGCGAAGGTAAGTGTCTGTAACCTTTTGACCTCAGAGGAGGGATTTTAAACATGGATTGTTAACTGTTACTGTGGTTAGATAAGAATTTGACTGCGTGGGTTTGCTAGTAGAATCTATACATGCTCTGTGATGTATGAGGCTACAAGGTCCATGTGTAAATTTCAAAACGCTAAATTTTCTTGAAGGAGGTTTTATGCTCCTTAATCGTATAATTTCCTATGCATTGCTGTAGCTGTCAGTGTTCTTATATATGCCCTGCCAGTGGCAATGCACGTGCATGTTTTATGGTGGCTGATAATATGGTGTATTTGTTTGCCTGGCCGTTATAATTAGTAGCAGTGCTGCAGCTCTCTATTTCTAGCCTGTTAGGCTTGTGTAGGTAAATGGACGATGTGCTTATCTATTCTGTTTGGCCAAATAGTTGTTACTATACACTAGTTAGTTCGTACGATGGAGCTTTCCAGCTACGACACGTACGCGCCATGCTCGTGGCAACTTTCATAACGATCCCAACGAACTTTCTTCGAGAAGGCTCTGATATCCATTCCGTGTTTGAAATAAGGGCTTACGTTTGTTCGCTACTTGTCCATTTCACGGAGGACAAGTAGATCATGCTCGTGTTAGCTTGTCTGCTGGATCAAGCATGCTTTTTTAGAGCAATTTTTATATTTCTACCATGTGGCCTGCTGGAACACGGAGTTAACATTAGTATAAACATGGGGCTGCCGGCATTTGCCACCCTTGAATTTACATATTTACTATTAGTATATACATTTTATTGCTGAAGTTATATAAAAACGTTACCGCCTTGCTAAGCCTCACGGAAACGGTTCTTGCTTAGGCCTTTAGAAAGACAGTCATGACAAGTCAGTCTGATAGACAATCAGAAACGTGCTGTTATAGTACACATCAGTTCCGTACAGCTTCGTCCGGCAACTCCGCCTCGAGAATAGATGAGGAGAAATTAGAGGGAGATGAGGGGGGAGAGAGACTGAGCAGCTGAGCTGGGATAGAAGAAGTGGTGAGAGAGGATGAGCGCGGACGAGTATCAGAGAGAGATTGAGAGAGAGAGAGAGAGCAGGAAGAGATGAGAGATGATGTTCTAGTTTGAGAGAGGAGAGAGAGGAAGAGGATGAGATGAGAGATGGAGAGAGTAGAGAGTGATGAGACTCGATCGAGAGAGGAGAGAGAGAGGGAGGAGAGGAGAGGAGAGGGGAACAAGACGGAGGAAGAGGCGAGATGCGGAGCGGCGTTGAGGGAGAGGAGCGAGGGAGAGAGATGAAAAGAGAGACAGACGCGCCGATTCGTTTGCCCCTGAGTTTAGCATCAGAACACCTGCCGTCAGGTGAGCGCTGTCGCTCTGCGGCACTTGTTTATTTATTGATGACTTGCTGATCTATGTATGTAAATAATAGGCATATCTCTGCAGAAGTAACATTCTACATATTGTAATATTGAATGTTCAATTTGGTGAAATACTTTTCAATCCATTTACAATAGCTTTAGAGTTTTACTTCACTTATTAATGCGTTATTATATAATTATGCGCATTGGTTTAATTTTTTTCTGTGACTGCAGCTGCTGTCATCGAATTAAATTTATTACGTCGCACAATTTTCATGCTACACACCGAAAGATAGTGACGTCATTTATCATGGCCGCGACCAGCAGTTAAAAATCCTGCTTTAATAAATACTTTAACGCTTGGATTAAATTGCTTATGTATGACTGCATGGTTAGGTATTTTTAACTGCTAGCGGATCCCCTAAAGTACATGGAAGCAAAACATTTCCTCGGTGTTATCTAGTAATATAACAATAGTGTAGAGAAAAGATGTCTCGTCACGAAGGTAAGTAAATTTCTCCATTTTCTGATCGTGTTACTTGGGATTTTACCGATCAGTGTTTATTGCAGAAACAGTGAGTAGGCATCAGTAAACGGGAAAGCTTGTATTATATCATAGTATATCGCACATACTTGTTTAACGTATATATCACCGGTGAAAATCCACTTTAGGCACCTTAGGTATCACGAAGTGATGCACAGATTTGTGTGTATCATCAACTGATGCACAGACTTTCCGTATATCACGGAATGATGCAAAAACCCTAAGCCTAACCCTAACCCTAACACACTTCGTGATACCCAAGGTTATACTTTATGACTTAGGGTTAGGGTTTTTGCATCATACCTTTATATACGGAAAGTCTGTGCATCAGTTGATAATACACAGAAATCTGTGCACCACTTCGTGATACCTAAGCCTAAGGTGCCTAAAGTGAATTTTCGCCTTAGTACATAAGATGATAAGTAAATATTTAATGATAATCTTTGTCGTACAGAGAGGTATTTTGATTATATATATTATAATACGAAGTGATTATTTCCCCGGTAAGCCAGACAACTAAGCCAAGAAATCAAACTAGCTTCTCCGGCAAAAAGCAGACTATGCCGCTAGTTAGGGTTGTGGCGGCGTATTTGGACGCTCGCCCGAAACTGGACGCTCCTAAGTACGCATGCGCGCAGGCGCCTCTTGTTTTGCAAGGGCGCACACAGCGCATGTGCAATATGCGCATTAGTCATCTGCGCATCTTGCCCTTCGACACGGTCGCAATAAACAAACATGGCGGACTTCCCTGTCACTGATGAAAACATTTGATTGAAACAATTTGCAATATGTAGTAAATTAGTAAGACTGTGTTATATGTGTCAGGTTACAAGGCGAAACAAAAGAAAACAAAAGAGCATGTCTACTATTTCCTACGGCCGTGCAAAATAAGATTCAAACAAAAAGAAAACAAGAGCAAAACAAAAGAGCATGCCTACGGCGCGTCCAAATACTACGAGCGTCCAAATACGCCGGTACAGGCCCACAGGCGGAATACAGCAGCAGCGGGACACTTCGGTCTGCTGGAGAATTTAACTATGATTTTCAGCACTGTTTCTACGGCAAAGCCGGAGAAGCAGTGCTGAAAACGTACACTTGTTTCTCTGGCACCGGAGATCTAACAAGAAAATTTGTTCTTAATTCTCCGGGGGCCAGAGAACTAACGATGGTTTTCACCGCTGCTTCTCTGGCTGCCGGAGAAATAATACCAGCCATTATAATAATTATAATAATTAATAGTGAATAGTTTTTTTTTATAAATATTATGAAACATGGATGGAAGTTTGCTAACATCGTCAGTAACCAAACCTAGCATGTTCATAACATCACTGACCTTTTTTTATTAGTGCACCACCCAAAGCCAAACGTCAAGACACTTATTAAATAACCAATCGTAACTTGAGATAATTATAAACTATTGTCTCTAATTAGTTGTCACATATATATTGCAAGCGATTACGTCTGGTATAAGAACCGAAATTTTTAGACCCATGTTTACTAGCCTTAGAATACCTACGATTTACTATGCGTAACTCAACCAACTTGAGCTCAAATCATACACAGTACATTCGCCTAGCATCGTGCGAAATCGTTTCCTTGTATACACCCGCAATCCGGAGATACAGACTAAAACGTACGACACGATTTTCCATTATGTTGCCAGCAAACTGAATGTGTAAACCGCCGAACTCGAAACAAAAGGCAGCTACTAACGACTCTTGCGCCTCGGCGATGCGGTGTGGCTCGCTGGGCTAATCTTTTACCTATTTAACAGCTGCATTTTGTTTCGAATTCGGCGGTTTACACATTCAGTTTGCTGGCAACATAATGGAAAATCGTGTCGTACGTTTTAGTCTGTATCTCCGGATTGCGGGTGTATACAAGGAAACGATTTCGCACGATGCTAGGCGAATGTACTGTGTATGATTTGAGCTCAAGTTGGTTGAGTTACGCGTAGTAAATCGTAGGTATTGAATTCTAAGGCTAGTAAATGACGAATTTCCCTTGATTTTTGAAGTCACACTCCTTCCCTATTATCTACTCCTGATGACATATTATAAATAGCCAATCACAGTCGTAGATATTTTTATCAGAACATAAAAAAACATTTTGTAGCATGTTAAGGTGCTCAGCTGTCATTGGCTTTAAATATCATCTATCGATCAGACCATGTTCAAGGAAATTCAGTTTTGTATGATCTAGAACATTTATCATGCATGCTTGCATCTACCCAAAGTCCTATTTAAGCAAACATTTGGCTGTGCCGAGCACAGGATCTTTAAATCGATGGGGCCTAAGATAAAATATTGCTTGTTTCCCCTTTACTGACCGACTTGCCAAAACGCTGCTACTCGACACATTTTATTGGCCGATTAAAACAAAACAAAAATTATTTCGTTTCGTAAAAAAAAAATCTAATTTGTTCCGCAAAACCATATACACAAAACAGAATATACATTATACAATATACATACACACATCTTGTCAAAACAAAATAAAAAATATTTTTCACCTACCTACCTACTCGGTACCCTGAGAGGCAGGTAGGTAAAGGGGAAACAAACAATTTTTCAAAGGTGGCCTGGTGAGCACATTTAATGTCTGACAGTCTCTAATTTACAAACTTAAAATGCCTGCCATTGTGTAGCAAAATAGGAAGGGAGCTATGAGTCTGACATAACGCTAGTTTTTAACGCCTGCAGTGTGGCTGGAGCCGGTGAATACGATTAAAGTGATTACGTCACGGTAAATAATAAAACTAAAAAAAATATTTCCACTTTTTCACAAAATCTAGTAATTCTGTTCACTTTTTATGGTTAAATTGCTGCAATATGCTTCCTATTTTACTATATTGTTTGATGTGAACATACACTCGTGACTCATACATAGCCCATAGTATGCAATTAATGTCAGGATCATAATATCAAATCGCCCAGGTTTTTTGGATTTTTAACTAGTTGAGAAACAATCTTATCAGGTAAGAATTTGACGATACCTTTAGTCCCGTTAGTACTGGCAACAAAATTGGCAACAAAAATGTTACAAATATGCACCATGGAAAATTCGTGACTTAGTCAATTTAAGGTGCCATGCATTACAGTTCAGGGTTAGAAATTAATTTTTTTGCCAAGCAGCAAGTACCTGATGCTAGAGAAAAGGGCATGTAGCAAACTTACTCATCCAGGCAACATCATTGGTGCTTTTACTATGATTTATTAGGAATGTCTTGGTAGGAAGTTATTGCTGTTGATGTTGAGTGCAGGTAGCAAACAGACACTGGTAGGCAGCAAAACTGCTGTTTGCTGCCATTAATTTCGAACCCTGCAGTGTGTTTTGACCTTCAGCCTGTATCATTGATTCTAGTGCAGGTGTCCAATGCTATAAACTATCCTTCTTAAAACAATACCATGTTGAAGATGTTTGATCATCAACTATGCACATAATTGTGGATGTTACTTTTCAGGCGTGAGTTGTGACTCGTGTTTAAAAGGCAATTTCCGAGGCCGTAGGTACAAATGTCTTGTCTGCTACGACTACGACCTTTGTGATACTTGCTACGAAGCAGGGGCAACAACTAGTCATCACTTGATTCACCATCCCATGCAGTGCATAGTCACCAGAAGTGACTTTGGTGAGTGTGGTAGTTGAACACAGTGACATAATCAGGGAAACCTTCCCATTATATTACGAGTATGCACAAAACTCAGACAAGGGTCTATCATGTGTCAGTAGGAATGTGATGATGCATCAAACTGTCGATTTTAAACTAGCAATAATGTTTGGCTCTATAGCAACGTATTGATGGCAAAATAAAACATTGATAACTATTGCTGATAGTTTGCTGAACAATCAATAGTTTTCGATAGTTGCTACATTAAAATACCAAGTTAGTTAATTTACTGTTAAAGCTATGTGTGTGTGTGTGCATGCGTGCGTGCGTGCGTGTTTGTGCATGCCTGTGTGAGTGCGTGCATGAGTTTGCGTGTAATAATTTAGAGTGTCACACACTTGAACTCAATTTCTGTTACGTTCGATCTTCGCTTGTCTGTTTCAGAGCTGTACTATGGTGGGGAGACTTTGCTTGAGCAGCCACAATCTTTCACTTGTCCCTTCTGCTCGCGGATGGGATTTACAGAAGCTGCCTTGCAAGATCACGTCACATCGGAGCATCCAGAGACAACCACCGATGTCGTACGTCAACATAGTAATTGTGTTAGTTAACTGCGCGTAATTTGATTGTCACCAAGAGAAAAAACGTCACGTTGGAGGTTTTACTTTTCTCTTGATCTGAGGTCTTAGCTATAAAAATATCATGTCTGTTAACACGGAAAACTCCTTTGAATCTATGTTCCGTAATCAGCCTACCTAAATTTCCAGAAACGATTGAATTCGTATAAATATTCAGGTATGTTGTAATTTTAGGTGTGCCCAGTTTGTGCGTCGCTGCCGGGCGGGGAGCCTAACCATGTTACTGATGACTTTGCCGCTCATTTAGCCTTGGAACACAGAGCTCCCAGAGATCTGATTTCGTTCCAGATATCCTTTTTATGCAGAGTACTATTGACTGCGTTATGGTGTGCTGTTTGCTCCATTATTTAATACTACTACAGATAATAGAATCTCATTTGTCATTATGTTGTGGACTTTACATTCAGTGTCTTGGTTACCCAGACTAAAATATAGTCACTAGCTGTAGAAGGTGACACATGGGATAATAACCAATATATTACTGTATATTCCTTAACACTTGTCTCTGCACGATGAACCAGCCAGCTCTCGACATGTGCGTCGGATACCACATCCAGGTCGTGGAGTCACGACCACCAGGGCGCGTCGTTCTAACATGCACTTCGGTAATTCTTCTGGTATCTCGATACTATCGCCTGGCAACAGAGATGCCATGGATCCTATTGCTGGTGAGTGGGGCCTAAATTCGGCAGTCAGGTAATTGCTGAAAAGCTGTCTCTTGCATTTATGTTGTGGGTGATGATAACGTCCTGTAAGCAGTAACAGTAGGTGTTGCTTTGCCTAGTTTCTTCATTGTCACAATGTTCCTCTCAATTCATCGGCTATTGCGCTGTTGTTTCCCGCTAAGTAGCCATATACATCATGCTCGCATTGCTTACAGATATTGTGTTATTATCATGTACATGTTTATCTTACGGTTATTATGTGTATTTACAGAGCTGCTTTCACAGTTGTCTGGTGTGAGGCGCAGCTCAGGTCTGGGGGCGGGGACTGGTGGGTCTGCTGGTACTGGTACAGCTCAGCAGAACAACACTAGTTCCCAGCTACAGCAACTACAAGTTCAACTCCAGCTAGAAAGACAACAGGCTCAGGTACTCTAGACCTCCAGCTCCCTAGCAGCCATTTAGTAGACAAGAGCAACAGTTTCGTAATAAGGTTTTACTTCTCTGTGGTAGCGAAACTGTATGTTATTCCAACCTCCAAATTTCTCAAATGGCTCTTGAAATTTGGTGGCTTTTTATCACCTTGAAACATAGTAAATCTCTTGTGCATTTTTAAAGTCAGATATATTTTTAACAGGGGTTCACTATTCCTGAAATGCCAATTGTTTTTACCAGAAAAAAAACACTGATTGGGAAGTCTATGAGGTTGTTGATTGCAGAGTATCATAAATCAACAACTGTGATATTTCCCCAACATACTCTTTCCTTCTTTCACAATGTGTCATGTATTTTTTCCAATTCAACTTTGATAGCAAATGTAGTAATTTTATCGATAATTCACCATTTTATCAGATGGCGAGACAACATTTAGAGAGGTTACCTAGAAGACAAGCTTCAACGAATAGCAGCAGTGCTTCAACCTACACGCTAAACAGTGTCGCTCTAGACTCGACTACCAGTGAACGACAGTCGTCAACAAGCTCCCAGTATCTGTTAGTAAGGTACATGTTGCAGTTTGTTGTACTTGGTCTGTCTTCACCATAACCCAACAGCACTGCAGTGAGTAAAGATTGGTAAATGTCTTGCGTGCAGAGTGCTTGTGACGGTTTTTAGAAAAGCCTACATCATGAGCTCGTGCTTCAAGTGGTGAAAGCCTGCAAGTCTGCAGCGATATTTGTATCATAGAGTGCTATTCGCACAGAGATTGTATGTTTGTCTACAAGGATGCACAGATCATTCTGAGTTTATAACACGGCTATTATAATGTTAGTTTACACCACGACTGGTTATTAAGTCTTCTTCTTGGAGTCCGTGCCTATAACAGTACAACTGAAATAAATCACATTACAGTTTCTTTACACAATGGCCAAATCCGTGGCCAATTCTGAGAATTACTTTTAACCGGTTCCATTCTTTCCTACTAGGCATAGTGAACCTACCTTGTCGGATGCTGACCAGGCTGCACTGGAAGTCGAGAGAGCTGATCATAGCCAATTTGTACAAGAGCTGCTTCTTTCTGCACTAGCAAGCAACTTGGTGCTGGATGATGACTTTGCCGAATTTGGGGAGGGTAAGCCCTTCTAATTTTGCACATTATTGGTTCCTGTGACCATCAGATATGTATCGGAGATGTATCCGAACTCTGACCTGTGATTGCATCAGGTGTTCTATCGAAAGTGTTTGATTCTACGCAGTGCGTGTCATCGTTTCGCGTTAGACTGCCTTGTTGCGAGAAGTAATTTACTCGTTAAGTGGGGTTTTCTCATTGCGAAATTTGTCGTTGAAGGACTGGCAGACGTCGGACAACACGGTCCATCTACGACAGCAGGTGGCTTCGCTGTCCCGCCCCAGGCAAGCGGCTCGAAGCCGGTACCGCCCAAGCGGCACGTGCGACCTCCACTACAGCCACGACCCGACATGGCGCGGATACCCGGCGGGAGCTTGACCCCGCCTGGCTCGTCCGGCGGCGGCGGCGGCGCGCGCGTCCCGAGCATCCCCATCATGATGCGCGATGCGGCGCGGTCCCGCCCCGCCAGCCACCAGCCCGACCTGTCACGGCCCAGCGCGCCCTGTCCCGTGGGGGGACAGACGGCGAATCAGAGCCCGGAGTTGGCGCGACCGAACGGCACTCGCGCGTCTGCGCAGGCGTCGCAGGAGCGGCAGAACGTGAGGATGAGCGGAGGCGTCGGCGGACAGGCGAGTCAGGACGTGAGAGCGCAGGGAAGCATGCTGAGGCGCAGCGCCCCGCGGCCGTCCCCCAGTGACCCCAGGAGGAGGGACAGGGAGCCACCGCCTGCGCCGGGCACCCGCAAGTAATCGGTAGACTGTGATGTCGCGACGCAGTCCGGGAGACAGAGCTGTACAAGGTGGTGTGTGCGATGTTGGCTGCTAATGGTCTAATTGAATTTATAGTACTTGCAGTTGCATGAGAACAGCTTTCCCCCACTTCTAGGGTTATTGTTATGGGGTGTAAAATCAGCATTATTTTAATTTCTAAAACGATGTAAAGACAAGCATATCTAAGTATGGCGTTAATTTGGATCAGTATATTTATATATATATATATATATATATATGCGTGTATAACGTAGCACTAGCACAGTGAGTATGCCTACCGATAGCAAGCAAGGTAAATTCTGTTGGATTTTGTTCAAATAGCTTTGGCAGCATTCAGTTGACAGTGATCATAGTGTCTGAGCGAAACTTGTAAGAGAATTTTATGAGACTACAGGTTGCAGCTGATTCTGTGCTCAGTAATATACTTGAGCTAGTGTGGAGTTCTGCGAATGATATTACGTGTGAGCAAGGTTTGAAATATTGGAAGGCGACAGCTGTGGCTTTGGCTACCTACAGACTGTCCACATATATAGAATCACCGGCTCACTTTTGGGAAAAGGTAGTGCTGCAAATTCTGTTTGGTGTTTTTTCAAAGTTTATTTCGGAGGCGAGTAATTAAACCGAGTTTGTTGTGTAAATAGAGCGAGCAAGCACGGGTCATTCGAAGTTGGGAGTTTGTATTGTGGGTGTCACACAGAGATAGACGAAGGAAAGCTCGGAGGGCTGGGGGCCCGGCCATGTTGCATTTTGTTGGAAGCGAGAATTTGCACCAAATTATATTCTGGTTGTAATCCATGTAAGAGAGTTGTTTGTCTTGTAATAACACAAGCTTGCCAGTCAGAATGCGGGCATGGCAGAATGGCAACGACCTAGCAAGAAGGTGTATGTCCACCAGTTAGAGTGCAGTAAACCAGAACCTTTCACTTCTTTACTCACGTAAAATTAACTATGTATTAGATTATTATTTTTGCCTAGCCTCAAAGTAATGCGTTAATTTTTAATAAAACAAATGCGACTGGTTGAAAAAAATTCACTCGATTCCGAGTGTGATTCTGTCAGGTGATTCAGTTCTATCGTATTACAAGACAGTGCTTTAAGAATATTAGGTGAGATTGCTCACATGTTGCTTTTGATCCGTAATAAAAGGAATGTATTTATTATTACAGCAAATTTCTTCATATTCATTTTGTTTCTCTCGTTCTGTTACTCTCCCTTTGTATCCAGTATTTCTTTTCTCGTAAACATGTAAACGTCAATATTCTAAAACAAAATTCATTGGTCAGTGGACAATCTTTTAATGATATTCTGCGGATTGTTCGTAAAAAACGTTAAGGTAAGGTTTGGCAGATTTGCTCTTGACGCCTCGCTCTGCCTACACCAACTGCTCAAAATGTTTATTTCCAATACATACATATGGTGGAAACAGTTTTTTCCGACCTTTTGAACGACCTTCACTATTATTCATGCGTTGTTGACTTTGCCATTTAGCATGCTGGGTTTTTAATAGTTTTGAGACAATCAGTCCTTCCAAGATTCCCCATAACCAAATGTTTATGATGACTATTTATTTTTTAAGATTTAACTGGTCACAAAGGCTAAAGAGGTCATGTTGACAATCATTGCACTTATAAAATTCATAAATCCTAAACGCACCAAACATTGTATCATTGTCTATCATACAGTAGTGTCATACCTGGTATGAAACAAGTTTGCCATGTCGTATAAGGGAAATGTGGAACTGTAATAACATTTAACGTTAACAATTTTTTCACATTATAAAATTAGCATACATTCTCATACCAGTTTACTGTTATTCCATGAATAAAGTTTTACCTGCTGTAAACAACCTTTTGGATAAGAAACTCTGAAAGACCATCTTCATCAATAAAGTTTTACCTGCTACCTAGCTATAAGTAGCCAACAATGGACTAAATTCCATAGATACAGCATTCACCTTACCTGGCTTTCAATTACAACAGTGCCAGTGCCGTCCGTATACAGCCGTGCAGAAATGGTTGGAGCAATATTGCTGGTACCGACTAGAAATAGCTTTGCATAAATGGTAACGTGCAGAATTGTTGAGCGATTCACAGCATTTCTATCTGACTGTGATCTAATGTAATATAACACTGCTCTCTGCATTGCTAATTATGCCCTAGGTTCCAGTCTATCATCACGTCTTTCCTAGTGGTAGAATGTAGTTAACTAATTAGCTATCGTACAAAACACTTGAGAATTGTTAGGTTTCATCCAACACTTGATTTTTCTAGATAGAGAGCAAACACACTGTGCATTAAAAACAACACAGATGGTGATAGCAAATATAAAACTGCTTTAATCACATTGGCAACATTGCTTTCATACAAAATATGCTGCCAGCTGCGACATTTTATCTTTTGGTGGCTTTCCCCGGCCTCTTCCCCTTCCCCTACCACGCCCCCTTCCCCTTCCACCGCCTCCCCCTGGTCTCCGGGCAGTCATTCGGGCATGACGTAGTCCAGTTAGGGGTGCTAGTATTGGGTCACAGAAGACGCATCCTGTATGCTGGGTCTGCCCATCCTCAAGCGGATTCTTCAACTGGAAAATATAAACAAAACACTATTACTCTCCTAAATCTATATATTACTACCAATAATACAACCCTCCGCACAGTAATTCTACTCCAAATAATGATGCTCATTCCAAGGTTTGATAAGGCTCGAAACCAATGATATAACGCTGTGTACCAACACATTAGGAGGACATACAGAAGCTATAGTTATTCTCTTTTTCAGTGAATGTTTGTGATTATCGTCCAAGTTCATTGTATATTTTCATTAAAAGGGCTTTCATTCTTACTCACGTAAGATTGCAATTACCAGTAAAACCACTTATAGATGATGCAGAGTCCTATAGCCATCCCATTTTCTACCCAAAATACGAGAATAGTGCTTCTAAATATCTCATCAATTGCCTCACCAGTGTGATATAACTAGGATTACCCATATTTAAAAGAAATGTAGGGGAAATTTTTCCAAGTGTGGAATGAACGATGTCATTTCCAAATATCTTTTTAATGGGTCATCATGAACTGTTGAGAAGTTAAGGCAAAGTCACCTGATCTTAAAAAACAAAATCAGATTTCGGCAGGCAAAAGGTGGTTCAATTCACTGCAAACGCATAACGAATCAGACTTTGTAGGCTAATCAGAAATAGCTGCACATAATCCATGAATATACAGCTAAGGTTGCACCAAACATCTCTCCTGACCGCATAAATGTGAGAGCAATAATACAATGCACACCTTGTTGAAATCGATAGTCATCATTGTCGCGTCACACTTTTCACAGTCGCTGTCCGCCAAGCCGACCTTGTACGCATCCTCGAAACATGCTATGACCACGTTACACCTGCGGAGAGACAGCAATCATATTTATTCACTCACGGCCAGCAGAACACATCGCTTTGCTTCAATTTCATGTATTGGTACAGATGATTTGTTCTTCTTCTCGGGTCACTACACTACACTCGACCTAGCCAGTGCAGCACACAGGACTACTAATACATGCACACACTAACATATAAGCGAATGCGATACCATGCGCTTAGTCAGAAATTACAAAGACACATCATACCATAAAGACCACAGTGATTTAATTCTCTTACAAACAAAATATAAAAGCAAGCTGATTGAATGAACTGTACCCAAAAGTCATTCACATACCCCCAGACTATACTAGGAACTTGTTGAGGTTGTTGAAGTACTACGTTTTTAACAACATGATCGATTGCACCTGGCCTTGTTATTTGCTGGCTACTGTATCATCTCCATAGCGCAAAACCCCTTTCAAGCCAACTTGATCAAAATTACTTGTTGCAGGCTAGCTTCCACTTGGGACCGGACGTTTGGTCGAGATTCAGAACACCACTTTCACACTCCATGCACGACGCGACGCCATTCATGGACAGGCTGTATGTACAGGTAGGGTGTGTGCACTCGTTACACGCCATGCCCTTCCGCATGTCCTTGAACGGTGGATAGTTGTAGCAGTATGGGCACACCGGGTAGCACTGTAATCATGCATACAACAAGTCAACTCAATAAGTGATCTCAATAAGTACTTGCTAGTGGCCGCAGTTGTTCAGTAACCGCATGCTATTTTTTTAAAGAATTTAAAAGGGCATATATATACTTTTGCCTATAACGTTTACTGTCTTTTTTATTCTTTATCATTCACTTAGCATAGTTGTTCATTTTTGACCTATTACAATTGCAGGACACTCCGATTAAGTGATAAATAAATAAAGCCTCATGACATCTGATATTAAGTCTGTCTCATATCTCATTCCTTAACATTCTACATAATTAAAATAAGAAATAATTTAAGTAATCTAATATGAATTAAGTGGACACTACAATCGGTGCATTTATGCTCAGCGAGAGACGCGTATGGTTCACGTACCTTCCCCTTCGATCCCGAGGTCCACAGCACGAGTTCAAAGTCGTCGAGAGGACAAGCGAGTTCTTTGTAGAGCTTGATGTTGCCGTTCTGCGGCAGGTTGTACGTCTCGTCACACTGAGCGCAGTGCAGCCGGCTAGGCTTCGCCTGAATGAACTTCATGAAGCGCCGGCATTTGCCACACCTGAGAGCATGTGCAGTGGAAAACATCAAGCAGTGAAGCAGGCAGTGAATATGGATTGCCACACCTGAGGCGGAGAGCATGCGCAGGTAAAAAAAAAACATGTAGCAGCCCATGAATACGGAGCACATAGTTGTGCAGGAGCTTGTTAGATGTGTGTACCGTGTCGCGGGTATGATGGGTGACCCACGAAATTATTTGTAGTCCCCGCCCGCAATTCTGCAAAATCTCGCTCGTACAAAAGCAAGCAGCTTTCTGGTTTTACATTACGAAGACCCTTCGACCTCGGCACACACAAATAAATGGATTTATCTCGGTCTCCACGCCAGCTCTAAAACTGACCCCACAGCACATCTTTCTACACTTGGAGTAATTTCTTCGTGACATAACTATAGAGGAAGTTACTATGGAAACTGAATGAAGGAAGATGCTCTGATTAAAAGGAAGATTCTAAGCAAACTGACCTTGACAGCGGTTTCCCGGTCTCCGCAAGCGAGGTGAAGGTCACTTCAAACAGCTCATCTACGCGCTGTATCTGCTGCACAAAGTAGTGGAACTTCAGCTTGAAGATGGTGACAGCATGCAGCAGCACCGCCTGGTGGTCAGCTTTACCCTGCGCGATCAGATTCAGCTGTTTCTCGACGGCAGCGCGCATGTGTGGAAGCACCAATTCTGCATCCGTCTGTCAACAACACAACCACACCGTTTTACTCGCAAAGTTATGCCTATGCAAAAAAAAACTATACAGTTTTTATTAGTGCTTACGTTTATTCGCACAACCGAAAATTATGTCCATGCAAAATAATAATACTATACCATTTGTATTAGTGCTTGCATTAATCTTTGAAGATCAAGTAACTACATCATACTACCTATTTTGCAGCTCTGTTGGAAAACATACAGGCATAATGCAAACACCTGCTATTTGTATTGCTTTCAAGGTTAATATAAGTCAAATATGCGCAGTTTTATGCTTCTAACCATGTTAACAATTTGCTCTTGCTCTTGCTTTACTCCTGATCATTAACTATGATTTTAAGTACCTGCTAAGTGGAATGTGACATAACATTTGATTAGGAGGTGGCATGGCATTCAGTAAAAATGCATTTGCAAAGTTGGAGATTTCTGGAAAGTTTTAGCTATGCCTCTGTCAAGTGTATGCTATGACCAGAAGGTGCTATTGATAATTGAGAAATGAATGTAATATTGAGTGGAATCATCTTGTTTTAGCCATATAAAATTATCTGTAGCCAAGGTTATGACCTCTTGCAAACGTTACATAAAGGCAAGAGTACATAATAGAGATATTATGAATAATCATACAATAATAATGTACATAATAATCTCTATTATGTACTCTTGATAAAAGTTTTATATCTTTCTTTGCACATCTAACATGGCAAGTCAAGAACACAACATATCTGTGAATTTCGCCACATAGTACAGTAAAGCATGCAAATCAGTATAATGTGACTTAACTGAGGAAAAAAGTGATGTTACTCACAAAATGTGGGCGTGTAACATGCTTTAAGGGTACAACATTGCTTTTGTACATAATTTGAAAATCAGGGAGTGAACATTAACATATTTACTATGCACATGCTCTACTGTGTAACCAACGGTATAGCCACTTAGCAACAGTTTCCTATGTGATATTTCCTTTAGGTTTTGCTTCACATTTTGTATGGTTTCTTTAGCTTTTCTTTTTGTTCCCGACTTAGATGTAGCTGGGTACTGGGCACTTCCTGGAGGACCAGAGCTGCACACTGTGTATGCACATGCCAGTGTTTATAAATATATATCAATACTACTACGAGACACGATATACACAGCACTGATGTGTCACGCAGGCATGTTAGTGGGAAGCGTCATTAATTATGTAATTTCCCTAGTTATTCATTGATCAGATGTGTTATGATGTTACCAGGCACTGATTTCTATTTTTAGGATGGCTAGGGCTAAGATTTTGAGGTGAGTTAAGCTGTGGACACACTAGCCGATTTTTCATGCGATTGAGCCGCCTGGCTGTGTCGGGCGGCTGAGTCGGGCGACTAAAGCTACTAGCCAATTTTTCATGCGATTGAGCCGCCTGGCTGAATGATGATTATAGTCACATGATTGAAAATGGCACCGTTTGATTGGCTGATGAATTGTACATTCGGGCGTGCATAGTAGAGCATTGTATAGTATTGCATTGTTCGAGCGCGCATTGCATATAGTCGCGCGACTCAAATAATCGCCCCGATTTTATCAAACATGTTTGAAATATCGAAAATCGACCGCGACTCACTGGACACACTAGGCGATTTCAGCCAAGCGGCTCGACCGCATGAAAAATCGCCTAGTGTGTCCACCCCTTTAACAAGGAATATCAGCGTAACTTCTGGAATATACTAGATAATTAAAGGACGAATATATTCCATATATATATATGTGTGTCATTATCAGTATATTATATCAGTTATATATTAGTATAGATATTATAGATCGGTGCTTCGCCATACCCGCTGGTAGCCATGCACGAGCATGATTCCTAGTGGTGTGGGTATGAGGCGTCTGCCGTTGCCCACGGTTACGTAGTTGCGCACACAGATGTTGTTGATGTGGACGGGTATGCTTGCATCGGTGCCGATACAGTGCTTCTCCATGAGCGTGATCAGCTCGCTCTCAGTCAGGTAGTCTGGAGCGCACGTCTGCCGCTCGACAAGCTTCACCTGTAACCATGGTAACACTACGATGCTACAGCGAGTCCCAGACTGCCGACTGCTGAAATCCTGTACCTTACTCATGATCACAGCATGGAACACTCGTCATTTTCTGACTGTCGTTATCTAATGGTATAGTATACACGCAGTACCTCTTGAATTGGGCAGACATCACCCTTGCCTATCTGCGGCATGCTCTCTTCAGCGGGTATAGCCTGCCAGGTCATGATGGCCGTGAACCCAGGAGCAATTAGTTCTTTGCCAACTAGTGTGAATTTCTCATCGGCAATGTCAAAGGAGATAGTGGTTTGCAGGTATCTACAGTCAGGACTAAGCTGCAAGGTAAATGAATTGTGTTTTCGCAAGTGCAAAAAACATGCATTTCTTACACGCATGTCACTTCAAACAAAAGCCTCACATAGAAATAGGATTCCTGCTTCTCTTTGTCTCTCTCTCATCATCTTTTCGATGGAATCAGATTTATATTACACATATAATCACTACATTTGATTTTCCTACTGCTAGTTTTCTTGAGAAATAGAGAGTGAGAGAGAGCTAGAGGACATAAAAATATTAAGAGAGAGGGAAAGAGAACCGAGACAGATGGGGAATTAGAGAAAGAGAGAAGAGAGTGACAGAGAGAG